CAGTTCCAGTGGTGAGCCACATTCTGGCCTCCCTCAAAGGAGGCCGTGTTTTTGCGAAACTTGACTTGGCTCAGGCTTATCGACAATTACCAGTTCATGAGGCAACGGCAGAGGCCGAAACAATTGTAACGCACCGGGGAGCATTTAAAGTTAAAAGGCTGCAGTTTGGGGTTAATGTAGCCCCTGGGATCTTCCAGAGTGTGATGGAGCGAACGCTTCACAATATTCCAGGTGTTTGCCCGTACTTTGATGATGTCCTCATTGCTGAGGAATCATCTGAAAATCTGGCTGAAAGGCTTAGAGCTGTCTTGCTGCGTTTCCGCCAAGCGGGGCTGAAACTAAAGCAAGACAAATGTAAGTTTGGAGTCACTTCCACAGTGTTTCTGGGGTTCCGTATTGATGCTGAAGGCATCCATCCTGCTGAATCTAAGCTTAAAGCAATTCAGCAGGCCCCAAGTCCCAAGTCCAAAAAGCGAACTTCAGGCTTTTCTGGGACTGTTAAACTTTTACCATTCATTCCTCCCTCACAAGGCTGCAGTGGCTGAGCCGTTACCCGGCTCTTGGATAAACAGGCTCCATGGCTGTGGACAAAAGTCCACGAAAGGAGTTTTGCAGAGGTCAAGGCCTTGCTATCTTCAAATGCAGTTCTAGCACATTTCAATGAGCATTTGCCTGTATGCATAGCCTATGATGCATCCCCTTATGGGATTGGGGCTGTGTTGAGTCACTTGAAGGCTGATGGGACACAAGTCCCTGTAGCCTACTATTCTAGGACCCTATCATCTGCTGAACGTAATTACACACAGATAGATAGGGAACCCTTGGCCATAGTGGCTGGCATAAAAAAGTTCCATGACTTTTTATATGGCTGCCATTTCACAGTCTTTACAGACCATAAGCCACTGCTGGGGTTGTTTACAACCAACAAGCAAACCCCACAGATCATCTCTCCTAGAATGCTGAGATGGTCAATTTTCCTTTCTGCATATGACTACACACTGGTTCACAAACCAGGCAAAGAAATGGGCCATGCAGATGGCCTCAGCAGATTACCTCTACAGCTAGTGGAGTCAGATCCTGCTCCAGCTCACCACATACTTTCCATTCAGGAGTTGCCTGAGTTTCCCCTCAATGCTAGGGATGTGGCTGCAGAAACAGCCACTGATCTCATGCTAACACGCGTACTGACATGGGTGCTGTCAGGGTGGCCTGACATGTGTCTTGGCACAGAGTTCCAGAGTTTCTGGAAGAGGAAGCACGAGCTATCCACCTTCAAGGGTTGTGTCCTCTGGGGTAGTAGGGTAGTGATCCCAACCTCATTGAGGACTAAAGTCTTTCTCTCTCTGCATGAGGGACATCCGGTATAGTCCGGATGAAGGTGCTTGCGTGCAGCCATCTTTGGTGGCCTGGGCTTGATCAAGAGATCGAGGCCCAGGTCCACGGGTGTACTGTTTGCCAACAGTCCAGGCCTGAAATGCCTCAGGCTCCTGTACATAGGTGGGAGGTGACACACGTCCCTTGGTCGAGGGTTCATATCGACTACGCTGGGCCCTTTCAGGGGCAATTCTTCCTCCTCCTCGTGGACAGCCATTCCAAGTGACTAGAGGTCATTCCAGTCTCCTCCACTACTACTGCCAGGACCATCCAGGTGTTGAGAGGGATCTTCGCTTCTCATGGACTTCCAGATGTCCTTGTCTCCAACAACGAACCCCAATTCATTTCTTTTGAGTTTCAGACTTTTCTACAGGCCAACATGATCCATCATGCCACTTCAGCACTGTTTCATCCTGCATCCAACGGACAAGCTGAGCATATGGTGCACACAACCAAGGATGCTTTAAAGAGGATCACTCATGGCAATTGGCATGACAGGTTAGCTGACTTTTTTCTTTGCCACCACACCTTGCACAGCCACTGGGAAGAGCCCAGCTGAACTCCACTGGGGTCGCAGACTCATTACTAAACTGGACAGGTTGCACCCAGACTGGGTGGCTTCCCAGGTGTCACAGCCGCGGGCACCTAGGAGACTACAGGTGGGCGATCCGGTCTGGGCAAGGAACTATGGACCTGGACATCTCTGGGTGACAGCAGTGGTATGCAAGGTCTCTGGGCCGCTGTCATACGAAGTGGCCTTGGATGATGGTCGGGTGATCCATTGACACATCGACCAACTGTGTTGGAGGCTTCCCAGCCACACTTCCGCTCCTGGCTCTGCTCTCGGGGGGGGAGGAGGACCCCAATTACGATTGTGGACCACAGTCTCTCCGCGAAAGCGGAACTTCCCAGGCACCATTAGAGGGTCTTGCCATGGAGGCGGCTCCTGACTCTGGCACTTCTGGCCCTGGCACCGGGTCCATGGGACATTGCTCGTAACCGGCTTTTCAGGCCAATCCATCTGCTGGTCTTGGGCTCATGGGACAGTGCTCCCAAGAGGGGTCCATTGTAGACTTGGGGAATTCCACCCCACCAATTGACTTGAGGAATTCCACCCCACCAAGGAACTCTGGCCTGGGTTTAGAGGATCCAGCCAGTCAGCATGGGAGGTCGCCTGAGTCTAGGGGGCATCAAAGTCCTGGCCTGATGAGCCTGGCAGGCGAGTTTGCAGGCCAGGCAATCACAACCGCTCCAAGAAGGTTGGAGACTCCTGTCAGTAGGTGGGCAGGTGTAAGGGTAATTAGAAATCAGAACATGCTCAAAAGAACAAATGACTGATTTATAGTAATGCAAAATAGTAAGTATTACTGTGTTATGCATAAGGGAGTGACAAGGTATTAGATTTGTAGTATTGTAAAATATTAAGTACTATGTTTTGATCCAAGAGGGGAGGGGTGTTATGTCCTGAGCCTGCTGAGTCATTCAGCAGGTGCAGGAAGCTGCAGAAAGGTCCAGGCAGACCACGTGAATGCCCGGGACCAGACAGGCTGTCTCTCACCTTGCGCGCATGCGCAAGGCAGGAGAAATGCCTTGCATTGATTGGCTGATACTGTCCCTGCAAAGGGGTATAAGAGGAATCCACGCCATTTTGTTTTTGGTTCTGTTGTGAATTGAATAAAGACAAGACTGTTTGTTACTCCTGCCTCGTCTCAATGCCTTTTACTTGGAAACAGAACACTAGGTGTTAAACCCATGAAAGATAACATCAAACCGGCTCCACGATCATCCACCAGCTCTTCAGAGTTTATCTTGACAACGGAGAAATAAACCAGATTCTGGAGGTTTGTGTCTTTTCACCCCTCTTTTTAGTTGCCCGGTAAGAAAGAGAAGTTCAGAGGGACATAGGATAAGAGTCAAATGGTTCCATTGTAATGGTTAGTAGAGGCGAATAAACAAAAGGTTACTTTGTAGTGAATGGAGGAAGTGAAAGTAATAAAACCCCTCTGCATGTTCCCCCTCTCCCTTGGGAGTATGGCAGGACCCAGGAAATAGTAATAATTGGTTTTAGATTAGTGGAGATAGATAGAAAGGAAATATAACTGGATCCTGACAGCAAGGTTTTACACCTGGGCAGGAAAAACCAAAGATATAAGTACAGATTAGGTGAGACCTGACTCAAAAACAATAACTGTGAGAGGGACCTTGGACTTCTAGTGGACGATCACTCGACTATGAGCCTGCAATGTGCAGCAGCCACCAAAAAAGCTAATATAATCCTGGGTTGCATAAATAGAGGCATAGAATCAAGATCATGTGAAGTATTAGTACCGCTTTATAAAACCCTAGTGAGACCACACCTGGAATACTGCAATCAATTTTGATCACCATACTACAAAAAAGATGTTGAGACCTTGGAAAAAGTTCAGAGAATAGCAACTAAGATGATCCAAGACCTGGAGATTAAAACATATGAAGAACGGCTGCAGGACTTGGGTTTGGCTAGTGTAAAGAAAAGAAGAAATAGGGGTGACATGATAGCAGTATTCCAGTATTTGAGAGGCTGCCACAAAGAAGAGGGGGTCAATTTATTTTCCAAAGCATCAGAGGGCAGGACAAGAAACAATGGATGGAAACTAATCAAGGAGAGAAGCAAACTGGAATTAAGGGGAAACTTCCTAACAGCAAGGACAATTAACCAGTCAAACAGCTTGCCTGCAGATGTTGTGGGCTTTTAAGAAAAGACTGGATAGTCACTTGTCTGAGATGGTATAGGTTCTCCTGCTTGAGTGGGGGCTGGACTAGAAGACCTCCAAGGTCCCTTCCAGCTCTATTCTGATTCTGATTATGGAGTACATTATGACTAGAATTAAAGGAAGTTCTCTATTGCTGTTTTTTCCAGGTCTTTTAAAGCTATTGATTCAATGCTATGTCTTACATCTAGTATGATTTAATTTTATTTTAAAACTATTTTATCTTGGAAAGTGCCCAGAATTGGCAGCATATACATTTTCTAAAACAACAACAACAAGCGAATAATCTGAATACCAAAATAGAATAGAATAGAGCTGGAAGGGACCTTGGAGGCCTTCTATTCCAGCCCCCTGATCCCAAACTTGTTGGTGCCTAAGATGGAAATTCCCAGTAGTGTCTTTGTGACAATAAAACATTAATTATCATTGAAATTATTAACATTTTATTTGTCTATTTGATCCATTGCCTGGGCATGGCTACTTCTCCTGTCTTAAGACCAGCTATGGTTTATTTGTATATTTTTTCAGGAAAGGGTTATGATGTATAGGAGAGAATTTTCCTGGAAAAACAAATGCTTCTTCACTGTCCCAAGAGCAGGGTGAACTAGGACAGGCATGTAGGACTCCATTCCTATCTATTTTTCATACAGTGGGAATAGGAGGAGCTGAGGTCTTTGCAGTTACAATAAATTCTGGAATGAGATCATGGTAGGAAAGATCCCCCCCCCTTTCTCCTCATTCCATTGGAATGGTGATATTGAAACTTTCTAGCTTTTCTTAATTAAAATTTGAAAACAAGCCAAATAAGACTATTTGGGAGTGGCTAGGCACTCTGGCCAAAATAGGGGATTAGTTGAAGGGGAAAAAAACCACGTCTGCAGTGAAAAGAAGCAGAGTTCATGGACAGCAGTGAGTGGAGAGGGTTGTGTCCCAAAAACAGAGGGTGGCTTTTGAAGGAGATGATGCAGATGCAATCAACTTAATGAGAATCAGAAAATAAATGAATGGATAGAAGAGAAGGATGGAAAGGAATGCAGTGTCATGTTCGACTTAAATTATTTGTTTTCAGATAGAGCAGATGAGCAGCTGAGTGGGGAGATGTTGTACATCATTGAGTGAAAGGGAAGGATATGTAAAATGTATGTAAGGAACTTCCATTTATTTTCTTTCTTTCTCACTTTGCAGGGATGGTGGCCTGTGGAACTCAGATGTTGCTGTGCCTCCTAGCTATTATTGTCCTGCCATCTGGTGAGTAATGTAACACTGACAAAGTACAACTCTTCTTCTGTTCCACCTTAAAATTAGATAGCAGTATATATTTTTTTAAAAAATTACTACTTCCAGAGGCAGGATTTGTAGAATTACTAAACTACAGATTATGGAGCAGCTGTCTTTGTTTTTCTCTTTAGTGAAGTTTCTGTGGTAGGAAAAATGATGGATTGAAAGACTGGAAAATTCATGTGGGCTGTAATATCATCTCACCACTTCCCTGCACAAAATGTGAAGGAGGCAGAGTATTAACACAGTCTTAGTCTTACTTGCAAGAACCCCGATCTTCCTTAGATATTGTGAGCTTAAAGAGTGTTTGTTCATACCAAACCAAAACCAGAGAAGCCACCAACACCTCAGTGTACTGTGCAAATGAATGATCAGTTACCATTTATTCTGTTAAATACTGAAATGAAACAGTCAGCAGTTATTCAGATTTCAAGAAAAAAGCTCTCTGTATTATTTGCATCTTGCAAGTGATACACATTAATTTCTCCCAACAGATTCTGTAGGGAAAAGGAATCTAGCAGGCACTAATTGTGGTCCTGTATGACTGTGAACTTGTATCTGTAAATTATAACTGTGGCTGATTCACAAGTTATGTTTGTCATAATGTGCCTTGTTTGATATGGCTAGTATTTTGTGTGAACCATGATATTGTGATTTGTAAAGCATGTTTAATGCACTAACAAGCATGTTATCCCAATGGTAGGTTATTCAAGAAATCATGGTAAATAAACCATGGTTTAATATAATGTGTAAATCCTCTGAGACCACTCATGCTGCATGGTCTTGGAAATTAATCTGATTAAATTCATAGACCTACTTTAAATTAACTGTATATGAGTGTTCAGTATAATATTTATTTTAAGACTTTTTTTCTAAGGAATCATTGGAAGGCTGGGAATTTCTAATAAAAATGCTTAGATTTATCACTGAGTAAAACTTCAATTATTCCTTCAAGGATATAGAACAATTAAACTGATATAAAACAGTATATAGCTGTGGTTTGTGTTTGCCAATTCCTGAATTCTCAAACAGAATTCTGCTTTATAATTTCACCCTAAACAGGATGAGTAGTGCTTACACACATGGCCAACAAAATGGCTTTTCTGAGAAGTAATAGTTTCCAGGACATCTTTGCTGAGTCCATTTTGTTGTTGTTGTTGTTGTTGTTGTTGTTGTTGTTGTTGTTGTTTTGGAGCTGAGAGTTCTTTGATGTTTTTAATAAATGTTTATTTTTAAAAGTGTAGATGTTGACATTTGAGCTGGGAAAAAAGCACACTGGAAGATAGTCCAAAGAAATTATAGCACTCCAGAAGCTACAAGCATGTTTCTATCTGCCAAATATGAAAATTTCTGATTGCTCCCTCCTCTGCTTATATTCAGTATTAATTTAGCTACAAGAAGAATATGAGCAGAATCATCTAATACAGAATTGTGCTAATTTTGATTAGAGAAATTTACTCTCATAAGAATATGGCCATCAAACATTTACCAACAAGAAAATTATGTCTTTTGCCATCATTATATCTTGGGGTCATAATACTTGACCATTTTCCTTCTTTTGCAAATAGCGAAGAGTAGAGAAAACTAACATATCTTTCCACTGTGCCTTTCCCCTCATAAAATTAGCAAACTCATCCTCCGCTCACAGATATTTTAATGTAAAGGAAAAATAAATTATAAGATCCAACCCAGTCATCTATGTCACGTCTAGCTTTAACTATCATATTTTCTAGGTATTTTTTAATAGATGTTGCGCCTCGCAGCTCCCCAATGTTTACCATAAAAGTTAAACCATACAAAATGGAAACCAATAATGGGATTACTATGGCTAACAGCCTGAAAATGTAGTTCCATCACCCAACAAGTTGGGGAAAGAACCATGATTTTTTTGTAACAGAAAATAACTTTTCTTCTTTCTTTTTAGAGTGGCTTTTGATGGGAGTTGTTGCTCAAACAACAGCAGGTACATTTTGACTGGTTTTGTACTAATGCTTAAGTTAATGTGTAACTGTATGGAAATTCCGATCTAATTTCTTACATATTATCCTCTTTGATATAATGTATATAGTGTGATATAGTGCCTAAGGCATCAGGCTAGAAATCCAGAGACTAGGATTTCAAGTCCTGCTGTAGACACAAATCCAGCTGGGTGATCATAAGCCAGTCACTAACTCAGCCGCAGGAAAGAGGCAATGGCAAACCATTTCTGAAAAACTTTGAGAAATATATTTTAAAAAGCGATTCACTGAATCCTTCATTCTGAAAAATTATGGTTTGGTCTTCAGTGTAAATCCATTGCTTTGTTCAGAGCTGTGAATTCGACATAGGGGCAGCTTCTCTATATTTTCTTGTACTATCCATTCTTTTTCTTACGCTTCATACAGTTGGAGGTGTGAACTGAAGTTGGTCAAACTGTTAAAGATGAAAGCTTTTCCTTATCAATGGAATTTTTTGGCTGAAAATTGCTACTAAATTTCTAATTTCAATCAGGCTTAGCTGTAGGATGATCTAATTTTTTCTCTCCAGGTTTTATAATTCATTTCTTAATCCACTTTATCCTCTTGTAACTGCACCGCATAGCTTAATGATTCAAGTGATTAAAAGCTTTGCTCTCTTTTTCATTTTTCTAAATTATTATTCACAAATTGTGATTGAGGTGACTGAGGGAGCCGATGCCATTTTTTCAGCAGCCCACCCCAGGCATATTTGCAATACAAATCTTTATATCACTTATATCATAGCGTCCTCCAAAGGATCTTGGCAAACATGGTTTGGAGAAGATCTCAATTCCATTCTTGTTCCACTCTTTTTTTTCTTTTCATTCCTTGCTTTCAAGTTGTCTTTATTTATTCTATTTTTCTCAGTCAGACCAGAAGTCACTTGCAATACAAAAGCACAAATTTTCTAGATGTATTTCAGAATAAAAAAGTAGAGCTTTCCTAAGGGCAACAAAATGAGAATGGGAATAAGAATTCATCAGCACATATGACTTATCTCTAAATGTGCTAACACACTAATCAGATATGCATTGCTGTCACTGCTGCATTATTGCATACTGTGCAACAGATGACTCCAAGCCCATTGCCTCTTGTTTCAGGGCCTCTGGAATCACCCACAGATCCAGGCAATGACTTAGGTGAGTTGTTCCTACTTTTTTCTATATCTATGCTAAGTATCCGGGCTGACTCACATACTGCATTTACTACATGTATGGCTTTTCAAAGTGTGCAGATTAACAGAATCACAGAATAACGAAGTTGGAAGGGTTCTTGAACGTCTTCTAGTCCAACCCCCTGCACAAGCAGGAGACCCTATACTATTCCAGACAAGTGGCTGTCCACTTTTCTCAGAAAGATAGGCAAAAGCTAAAGCTCCCTCCCACTTCACCACACTGCCATCCCATAGCATCTGTCACTTTTAGTCAGTCAGAACCTGAAACAAATTTTAATAAATACAGTAGTTAAACCTGCTGTCCTGTCCTAAACCTGTCAACTCTCACTTTGCCCTGCCCCAGTGCATAATAAGGAAGAATAACTGTAGGATGCTTTCCTGCTGCCTGGTGTTGTCTACTGGGAGAAGAGGAACAAAGCAGGGGAACCCATCCATTCACATTTAAGTTATGAATTTGCACTTTGAACATGAAATGTTATTTCCACATTTGAAATTAAAACTTTTAGAATGTGTTATCTCTATGGTATACAAATATAGTAACCATTGAATATTCTGTGAAATCACCTTAAAATATAATATATAGCCCAGCTGTTACAAGCAAGATTCTAGATTTAACTGTCTAGTCTCCCTCAAAATTAGATCCATTGCTGGTGATATTATGGATGCATCCACCGGGTTCATGAGCTGACATATTTGAATTTTATATCAATATGAACTTAATTTTATAATTTTTCCTCTTTTGTCCAGTTGATAGTGGTCCAACAACATCTCCTGGTAAGTTTAGTTTTACCGCTCTCTTCCATCTCTCTTCCATCAAAGTCATATGATTTCTTTTCTAAAGCTGAAGTTTTATAACCAAGAGCTTGCCTTTGATGTTTTTGATATTTGCACCTTTTTGGAGGCTTAGGAGAATTCAATGAATTAAAAAAAACCTCTGGGTGTTTAGAAGACAAGAAAATTTACCTATATATGTCTGTCTGTCTGCCTGCCTGCCTGCCTGCCTGCCTGCCTGCCTGCTGTCTGTTCACCTGCCTGCCTGCCTGCTTATCTCTTATGGCCACCCATCGCAACAAGTAACTCTGGGCAGTTTCTTGAACAAGCTCTATAAACAATTTGTGGTGATTCAAACATTTAATTCATCTACCTTTTCTAAAAGAAACATATCATTTACTAGCTATGCTTATAATATTTTTGTTACATAAAATTACTATTACATAAAAATAAGGGCAGTATGTTCTGATGCCTAAGAATGGTTAAGAATGGCAACAATATCTCTGTAGGATCAATTTGGGGTGATGGGAGTGAGATTTTATTTTAACTCTCACTAAAATTAGTTTGGAACAAAATTTGCCACTTCTTTCCAAATACATTACAAATACATTACCAACAGGAAGGGCTTCTAGCAGGGGATGGGCTATACCTAACAAGGACTAAGAGGAATATGTTTGGAAAACATCTGGCTGGGCTTATCTGAAGGGCTTTAAACTAAAACTGTATAGGGAAGGAGAGCAATTTATAGGATCAAACCCAAAGGATAAATCTCACTATAGCTAATCAGACAATGAAGAAGGGAGAGATAAGAAAGAAGAGGTGAGAGGTTCAGTATAATAAGGTCTCCTGCCCTGGGCAGTGGGTTGGACTAGAACAGGAGTCCACAACCCCCAGTCTGTGGACTGCTACCAGTCTGCAGCCTGTTGGGAACAAGGCTGCGCAAGTGGTGAGTGTGTGAATCTTCATTTGTGCATGCCCAGGATCTAGATTGCGTACATAAAACCATCCCACCCACCCTGCTGCTGGTCTCCAAGTTCCTTTACAGCCCTATGATTCTATGAACCCAGGGAGAGATTAGGAAGGATAACATAGAGGGAAATTCTAGAGCAGGGCTCCCCAACCCCTGGTCTGTAAACCAGCACTGGTCCATGACTTGCAAGCGAACAGGCCACATAAACAAGTGAAGCAGCACAAGAAACCATGCCGTCTCCTGCCCATGGAAAAACCTCTCTCCATGGAAGCGGTCCCTGGTGCCCAAAAGGTTGGGGGCCGCTGTTCTAGTGGGAAAAACAGTTCAGGATGCATGGAAAACTCTGAAAAATGAGCTATTAAAGGTCTCCCCCCCCCAAAAAAAATCCACATAGAAAAAAACCCAAGAGACTCCAGACAAAACCAGCATGGTTTCACCCACAGCTCACTAACAAACTGAGGAACAAATAGGACAAGTATAAAAACATAGAAAGAGAGGCGCATAACTACAATAAAATACTAGCAAATATCCCAAAACTGCAGGGATGAATTTAGGAAACCTAAGGCCCAGGATGAATTAATTGCAACAAATGCCAAAAATATCAAAAAGATTTTTTTCAATATATAAGGAACAAGAAGAAAGTCAAGGAAATGATCTGCCCATTAATGGCAGAACTGCTTAATACCTTTTTTGCCTCTGTCATCATGCAAAAAAAAAATAGCCCAACCTATCAAAAACAGCACCATGGGATACAGAATAGGATATATATGCAGATATATATAGGCAAGGGATTGGTAAGAGAACACTTATCCACATTGGACAAGTTCAAATCGCTGGGAGCAGATGGTTTACATCCCAGGGTTCTGAAAGAGCTGGCAAATATGATTTCAGAACCACTGAATTAAATCTTTTAAAAGGAATGTCTTGGAGCACAGGAGAACTGTGAGAGGACTGGAAAAGAGCTAATGTGGTTCTAATCTTCAAAAAGATGAAAAAAATGGAGCATCTAGAAATGAACAAGATGATTCCTAGAAGGGTTTTGTTTTGTTATGTGTTTGTTAAAAACAGATCACACCAGACAAACCTTATTGCCTCCTTTGATAAAGTCACTAAATCAGTGAAATCCTGTGGATGTATTATATCTAGACTTCAGTAAGGCATTTACAAAGTAGGCCACAATCTATTTCTTGGTAAGGTAGAACAGTATGCGGTAGATAGTACCATCATAAGATAGATTCACAGTTGGCTGACCAACCACACTCAATGTGTCAATGGAATCACATCTACATAGAGGGAAGTATGCGGCGGGGGGGGTGTACCTTAAGGTTCTGTTTCGGGGACAATGCTCATTATTTATGATATAGATGTGGGGATAGCAGAAGAGCTCATCAAATGTATAGATGACACCAAGTTGGGGGGAATTGCTAACACTTTGGGAGATAGAATGAAGATTCAGAGGGGTCTTGACATCTTGAGCATTGGACCCTAGCTAACAAGATACATTTCAGTGGTGAGGAAAGTAAGGTCCTACACAATGGCAGGAAAACCAGATGCACATGTATAGAATACAAGGTACTTGGCTCAACAGCAGTAACTGTGAGGGATTTAGCTATCATAGTGGACAACTACTTAAGTATGAAGTATGCAGCAGTGTGCTGCAGCTGTAATATAGTGCAGTATAAGGCCACACTTGGTATGCTGTGTCTTGTTCTGCTCATCGTGATACAAAAAAGATGCTGAGGCCCTAGAAAGACAGCAGAGAAGAGCAAACAAAGATGATACAAAAAGGGAACTAGGTATGTTGAGCCTATAGAAGAGTATGCTTAGGGGTGATGATAGCCATCTTCCAATACTTGAAGGATATCACAGGAAAATTGATTTATTGTCCAAAGCATTTGAGGGCAGGATAAGAAGTAGTGAGTGGAAGCTAAGGTGAATTTTTCTGACAGTGAGAACAATTAGTCAGTGGAATGACTTGCCTCCTGGAATTTTGGAAGCACCATTGCTGATGGTTTTTTTTAAAAAAGATTGGATTACCATTTGTTTTGGATGGAATAAGGATTCTGTCTTGGGCAAGGGGTTGGACTAGAAACCTTCCAGTGTCACTTTCAGTCTAACAATTCTATGGTTCTAAGCTACTGTTTCACCACATCTTCTGAAAGCATTTTTCATCTCAACTAAGCAAGCATGGCAAGAGGGATTCCCTATTACCATTTGCTCTTCCATTTCCTCTTCCAAACGTCAGCCTAGGCAGTCCTACCTCTGCATCCTTCCAACGCAGCAGCCCTCCCCAGCGACCTGCCCCAAATGGAGGACTTGTGGAAGACCTGATCAGCATCCCTCCCCAGTGAGATAAGCACCCTCCCACCTCCTGCTAGCCCAGCAGCCCTTCCCAGCAGCCTGCCTGAGGCAGAGGACAAAAGGCCTGGAGCAACCCATTCAACAAAGGGAACTGTTGGCTGTGAGAAATTGGTAGTGGCAGAATCGGTGGAGAGGAGAATCGCAGCAGCAGACATGGGCAGCACAGCAGCAGAGGAGCATTTGAGTTAGAAAGTTCTGTTGTCTAAAGCTGAGTGGCAGGTTGAGCAGAGCAGACCAAACAGCAGAGCTGAGACAACTGGAGAGCTGAACAGCAGGAGGAGCTGACCAGAGCAGAGACAAGGCTGAAAAGACCCAGGCACCAAAAGACAAAATGGAGCTGGTGGAGAAAATGACAAGTGGCTGGGTTAGCAAATGATGGAAATGAAGGCAACAAATTAAGCCTGAGGTCCCAATAGGCAGGAAGGGAAGACCCCAGTAGAGAATAAAAATAAATACAAGGCACAAAACAGAAAATAAAAGATAAATAAATAGGCAAATAATGATAAGAGTGGAACATTAGAAATCAAGGAAGTACAGGATTAATAAAAATCAAACAAATAAATAAGGCAAATCTTAAATAAATAATATGGTAGGGAGGAATAGGAGCTCAAAAATTTAAAAAATATAGCAAAGAAAAGGATAAATAAAACTAACTAAACATAATAGTAAGCAAATTAAATAAATAACAAGATAGAAAAATGAGCAGAAAAAAAAGCAGAAAAAAGGATTTTTAAAAAAGGGATAATTACCTAAAACACATAAGATAGAAACAAGACTAAGAGCAAAGCACTATACCTCCATCAACAAAAAGGAGGGATTTTCAAATATCAATTTTTTATACTTTAAATCTTTTAAATTTTGAAAACTTTAAATAAACTAATACATTTTTAAATTTTTAAGTTAAAATTTTCTTCTGAAAAACTGGAAAAATCTTCCACATCCTTAAATGAACTACCAAAAGGAAATATTTTTAGACTATTTTTTCTCTTTCTTCAAATATATATTGAGATAAAATCTCCTACTTTTACATATTTTTTTTAATCCTTAAAAGAACCAGCAAAAAGAAACACTCATGGAACAGGTGACTACTATTGTGGTATGCAATATATGTATATGCTTATGCCCTCAAAACACCCAAATTATACATGTACTAAATGTAAACTATGTGAACTACTAGAAGAAAAAGTAAAGGATCTAGCCAAATTGTAACCTATGCAAAAAAAAAAACTATACCCAAATCAAACCAAATAATGAACAAATAACTCCCAGAGGATTTGACCCTGCAGATAAACCCTTGGAAGAAGACAAATGGAGACATGTCACACATAGAAGGAAACATAATAATCAAAGAAAGAAGCAATATGCATCTATCAAACCACTACTGCCCAATCTAACCCATCCAGAAGCAACCCCATTAAAACTGAGCAATCGATTTCTCCCCCTAGATGAAAATAGGAAGATCCACAACCTCCCCTTCAAAGAAAACATGCAGACACCTAGAAAAGAGACATCATCAAATATCTCTTTAAAAAAAATCAAATTATCAAACACATCTGTGATAAACAGAAAAGCACCCCAGACTGCACCCTCCCAAAAAGGAAGGCGAGTGTTGGTGATAGGAGATTCTATTCTCAGAGGAGCAGAACTAGCCATCTGCAGACCAGACATGCAA